ACACACATGTGTGCGCACTCACACACACGCACACTCTCACACACACACCCCGTGGGGCAGGGGTTTCTCTGTTCCTGAGCTCAACCTTGGCCTTGCCGAGTGCTAGTGGACATGAGTGTGGATGTCGGCATGGGCCCTGGCCAGCTGTGTCAGAGGGCCTCAGTCTCCCCGTCTGTGCCTGGTCCCAGGTCCTCCTGGGCCCCGGGTGTGGCCCCAGTGTGCAGCCTGCTACCCCCGCCGTCTGTGTTCCCATGCCCAGGTCCCCATTTCTGCTCAAGTATAGCTTGGCACACAAGAGCAGGGAGGCCAACGTCTGCTCTTCGGCCGGCCCTGGGGGGGAGGCGCTCCCTGTCCCCCTTCCCTGCCTGTCTCTACCTTCCCCGGTGTGTAGACATGAGTGTCTGAGAACAGAAGCCCCACCCCACGTGCCCAGATGGGATCCTGCCCATTTGGAGGCACCTACGACCCTGCCTGGTGCTTCCGGGCTGCATGGAGGTGGGGACAGAGGAGGTGGGGGGCCCAGCCCAGGAGGGACCGTGCAGGCCAGGCAGACCTAGTGGCCAGCAGGTGGAACTGGCTCAACCAACCCAGCATCCCTAGAGAACATCCCGGCCATTTTAGGATGAGAAAACCAAATCCTCAATGGGCCTGGCCCTAGGCAACTGGCAAGGAATGCCTCGGGGTGTCTCGTGCTGGACACTGAGTGTCTTGCTCACCCGCCGAGCCTGGGGGTCCAGGGACCGAGTGGGGTCTGCTCCCAGCTCGATGTTGGCCCCCGGCAGCCTGGCTGAGGAGGAGGAGGCGGCGGTGGACACAGTGGATGGGTGGGCACTTGGGAATTTCCAGGGCCCGGTTTACAGATGGCGTCCTGTGGATCTATCAGCAGGCTCAGGGGTGGGCATTGACATGCTCGTCCCCATTGGAGGACTGCAGCCAGGGCCCTGGCAAGTCCTGTGGGTTGTCCAAGGGACACAGCCAGGCCGTGGCAGAGCCTGACCTCACCCAGAAGCTGAGCCGTCCTCTGTCCCCAGGGCCCTAGCCGCAGCCCCTGGCAGTGCCGGGCGGCCCCTCCCCCCTCAATCCACTGCTTTGTTCTCCCTGCTCCCGGGCTGGAGGCTGGGACGTGGGACAGGGCCAGGGGCTGGGACAGGCAGTGGGCAGTCCTCAGCTGCACCCCACCAGCCTGAGGCCTGAGACAGGCACACACATGCGGGCATCGAGGGTCCTCCCAGGCCGGGAGAGGCCTTTCCCGAGGGCAGCAGGGAGACAGGGAGGGACATGGGACCTCCTGGAGGAGGCATCTCTGAGCTGCATCTGATCTTGGGGGGCAGAACCCAGGAAGGAGGGATTTTGGTGCCAGCCTGAGGTCTTGGTGGGGCCCAGGGGAGGCTCTGAGGGTAGAAGGTGCGCCTGCAGTAGAACAGCCCCAGATTCAAACGCCGCCCTGCCCCCTGGGGGCCAGCCAGCTCCTCACGCTCCTCACACCCAACCCACAGGTCTGTACCGCTCACTCCC